GTCACAAATTTTAGAATGAAATGTTTTTCATTCTCGGAACACAGAAAGGGGCACAAAATCTTTAGTACTACTAAGAACATATAGTGAGTTAGAGATTCAGAAAGCGCCCACCAGCGGCCGAGCTGTAAAGTCGCTGAACACTGGTAGTTCGGTCCGAGGTTCGGATTCCGCGAACGGGCTGGCTACATGGGCGTTTTCTTGGTTTTCTCCAAGTGAGTTTCCCTTAGAACGTTCTCCACAAAGACATCACTCCCCTTAGGCAGATAGCTGAAGAGTCTAGTATGAGTAAAAAATTTTAAGGATGGAGAATGCCAGATGGATATTTGTGCTTTTCGTTGGGAAATGGAGAATGTTACAACTCGAACGCGAAATGAGCGAAAGTTTCGCTTCTGCCAGTGGCAGCGGGGAGTCGAAAAACGAACTTGGAAGGGAGCGGTTGCTTACTCGGCTTCTCTTAATAGAATTTGATTCGAAGGGCGGATAATCTCCATCTTTTGATTTAAAATTAATCTTGAATTATGTAAATATTGTAAAATAACATATGTGCGTAAATAAATAGTCATTAAGACTAACTTTAATGTCGTGATTTGAATTTGAATTGAATATAGAAAACGAAAGCTCTCCCAAACAGAATCGTCGACAGTTTAGAGCTCTTAGATTAGAACAGAGAACATCTAACAGAGTTGATGCATTGCTAGGATGACTGAGAACTGAATAGAAGAAATTTTTGCCAAGTTTTGAATATAATCTTGAATTGTGCCTACTTTGAGATCACGGTGGATATACGAATTTGGAATGAATCATGGCGCATTGATAATCTCTCTGAGTGCTTTGTTTTGAAGAACTTGGATTTGTTGAAGGTGAGTTTTGGCAGCGTGGCCCCAGACAGGAACTAGCATAGAGTAATGCTGGTCGAAATATAGATTTATATAAGATGAGTTTATTTGAAGCGTACATATTACTTCTGCCAAGAAGTGGGCACATAGTTGCAAGCGTGATATTAATTTTTTTTTTCATAGTTTCCCTAAAGTGTTTCTGAAAAGTCAATATTTTATCTACAATGACTCCTAGATATTTAACTTCGTCAACCAGTCAATTTCTTCATCAAACAGAAGAGGTCTAGGTGGTGTGAAATTTGTTTGTCCTTTGCGAAAAATTATTGCTTTTGATTTTTCAGTTTTAACTGCAATCCTCCAAAGAGTGAGCCAATTTTCTTGATGATTGAGGTAATATTAAAGAAGGACCTGGACAATTGTAACTGAAGAAGATTCGGTCGTAATGGCAGTTGTTACAACTCGAACGCGAAATGAGCGAAAGTTTCTCTTCAGCCAGTGGCAACGGGGAGTCGAAAACGAACTTGGAAGAGAGCGGTCGCTCACTCGGTTTTCTCTTGATAGAATTTGATACGAAAGGGGGATAATCCCCATCTTTTGATTTGAAATTAATCTCGAATTATGTATATATTGTAATATAAAAGATGTGTGTAAATAAAAGTCATTAAGACTTAATTGAAGTAGTGATTTGAATCGAATATAGAAATCGAAAGCTCTCCCAAATAGAATTATGGATTTTAGAAATGACATATTTTAGTGGTGCCTTCACCAAGGGACTTTTGGATTAGAATTTCGAAGATTAGCAGATGGATTACCTGTAAACAGGTAAGAAATTTCTTTTTCTTTGAAAATTTGGAAAAAAACTGAGTTTCAATATTGTGATTAATCAATTTTAAACATGGAAGCTTTAGACAAACTGAAGCAGAAACGTACGAATGAACGCAGTAGCGTTACGAAATTAATTACAAAATTAGAAGCTTTATTATCAGAAAATATCAAAAACACAAACATTGAGGAATTGCAGGAGATGAATGAAACAATTCTCGAAAGAGAAAACACGTTGAAAATGTTGAATTCACAAATCGAAACTCAGTTAAAAAATGCCAAAGAATTTAAAAAAGATATTACTGCAAGTGATAAATACAATGAACAAATTATGTCTGCAAAGTTTAGAATTAAAATAAGATTAAATAAATGTAATGAAAATTTGTCTGTGAAAAATGCATCAGATGCAAATTCTTTGAATACTTCTGTTTCTGAAATAAATGTATCGTCATCGGCTATGAAATTTTAAAATATACCAAAATTCTCAGGAGATGCAGGAAAATGGTTAGAATTTTTTAACAGTTTTCAAGCTGCGATTGATCAGAACAAAGCGTTAACCAAGATTGAAAAATTCGTATACTTGAAATCATTATTGATAGGGCAAACATATAATGTCGTTGAAGGATTTCAATTAACCGAACACAATTACGATTCGTGCTTAGAACTTTTAAAAGAACGCTTTGGAAAACCAGAGAAAATTATAAAATCACATATGAATAATCTTTTGGACATAGAACCAGTTAAAAATTCTTCTAACTTAAATGCACTAAGAAGATTACACGACGCTTGTGAAATAAACATTCGAAGCTTAAGTAATTTAGGAGTAACTTCAGGTTCGTACGGACACTTGTTAAATCCGATATTATTGAAATTATTGCCTCACGATTTGATTCTCGAAAATCACCGAAAGCGTGATCCAAAAGAGGAATCTGATGTTACAGGTTTAATTGCTTTTTTGAAAAACGAAATTGAATGCCGCGAACAAACGTACGCAGTTAACAAACCGGAACCGAAATTCGTTCCATTGAACGGAAAGAATAAACATTTCGACAAACACAAAAGTAATTATAAATACAAAAATAATAAGTTTAACTCTAAAGTTAACCCCTCGTCGGCGGCAGAATTATTAGCTCCTGTAAAAGAAGAAAACTGTATTTTTTTGCAAAAATAACACACATAATAGTGACAAGTGTAATATGAGTGTAAATGAAAAATGAAATATTCTGAGATCGCAAGCTCGATGTTATGTTTGTCTTGCTCAAGGTCATCGATTTTCTGATTGTTCTGAGAAGAACTCTTGTGTATACTGCCACAAAAAACATAATGCAACCCTTTGTTACAAAAATGAGAAAAAACCCGAAGCATCGCAATCAAAAGGTGTAGAAAATTCAGCGTGCAATCACATTAGCATCGGTAGGAATAAAAAATTTTTACAGACGGCGATAGTAGAACTTAAAAGTAGGTCACGCAATAAATTAGTTCGTTGTTTATTTGACAGCGCTAGTCAACGCTCGTATATTCAGAAACGTCTGTCTAAAACAACTGGTATTAAAAGTCGTGGGAAGGGAAGAAATAATGATTCATACTTTCGGATCTCAAGTGCCTACCAAAGAGAACTGTGCGCGAGTAGAAGTAAAAATAAAAAACATTTTCGATAACGAGGAATTAATTATTCAGGTTTTAGAGACTGATGAAATATCGAATGCTGAGCTAGACTATCCTCCGCAAAATATTAAGGAGTTGTTAAAAGATAGGGGAATAATTTTAGCGGATGTTGATCACGAATCTTTAGATAACAACAACGTATCTTTACTCATTGGAGCTGATAATTATTGGAAATTAGTAAAAGACAAAATTGAACGTTTGAACTCAACATTAGTTACAATGGAAACCAAAATGGGTTGGATTTTAATGGGAAAACTATTTGATCGTATTGATGAAAGATGGGGAAAATGTAACTAATGCCGTCGCAGTGACTTCTTTATTAATTCACACATCGAAGATTGAAAATTTGTGGAAATTAGATTTATTGGGAATTCAAGACCCTGTTGAAACAAAATGTAGAAAGGAAATGGAAATTGCCGCATTGAATCATTTTAACGAAACTGTTACCTTTAAAGAGGGAAGATATGAGGTTCAGTTGCCTTGGGTAACAGAAAAGGACTGTTTAAGTCAAAATTTGGATATTGCCAAACAGCGTTTAAACAGTACGACACACCGGGTTGATACAGAAGGGCAAATTCGAGGATTATGAAAATGTTTTCACAGATTGGTTAAATGAAGGAATTATAGAAGAAGTCCCTGAACACGAAATGAATAATCAGTGTCACTATTTACCACATAAAGGGGTATTCAAAGAAACTTCGACCACGAAATTGCGACCGGTATTTGATGCTTCCTGTAAAGACAAAAATTCGCGCTCACTTAATGATTGTCTAGAAAAGGGTCCAAATTTGCTGGAACAAATTATTCCTATAATTTTAAGATTTCGCAAGAATAGAATAGGAGTTATTTCAGACATAAGAAAGGCTTTTTTGCAAATGTCAGTGAATAAGTGTGATCGAGATTTCTTAAGATTTTTATGATGGAAAGACTTTGACAAGAAGGAACGTAGAGGTTTTAGACATAAACGCGCTGTTTTTTGGATTTAATTGCAGTCCCTTTTTATTGGCTGCTGTATTAAGCCACCACATTGATCTAAATTCATCTAAATATCCTGAAACAGCGGAAAATTTAAAAGAATCATTCTACCTAGATAATTGCATTACATCTGTTCCTGATGAAGAGACACTTACGCGATTCATCGAGGAATCGAAACAGATATTAGATTCTGCGTCATTCGATTTGAGAGGGTGGGAGCACATTTCTCTTTGGAAATCTGAGGACAGTATGGAACCTACTCCTGTATTGAGAATTTTATGGGATAAGGAAGATAATAGCTTTTTCTGTGAGGTGAAGACTGCTACTTACAAACCAGTGAATCTTACTAGAAGAAATATATTGTCTGCGGTACATCGCATTTTCGACCCCATGGGTTTTCTCTGCCCTATAACGCTAACACCTAAACTACTCATACAAAAGATATGGTTGTTAAAAATTGGTTGGGATACAAATATACCCGAAGACTTAGGAAAAGAGTTCTATTCGTGGATTGATGATTCGTCACTTTTATCCAGTGTTAGAATTCCAAGGGCTTTAGATATAAATGGAAATGTCTTCATACGTTCTGTGACGCAAGTAAACAAGCCTATGGATGTGTGATTTATTTAAGAAAAGAAACAAGTGAAAAATGTATCGGTGTATTTTCATCTAGCTAAAAGTAGAGTGAGTCCATTAAGAAAAATGACCATAAATCGTCTAGAATTATTATCCTGCTGTATAGGAGTCAGACTCGCAGCTCTTGCTTTACAAACGCTCAAATTAGACAACGTTCCAAGGAACTATTGGACAGATTCGAGTACTGCTCTTTCTTGGATCCAAAGAGATGACCATTGGGCGCCATTTGTCGCAGATAGAGTAAAAGAGATACGAAAATTGGCATCCGAATCTGAATGGCGTCACATTCCAGGAAATTTGAATCTAGCAGATATACCATCACGAGGGTGTTCGATTAAGAGTTTTTTGAAATCTCACTGGTGGCAAGGGCCAGAATGGCTTATGAAGAACGAGGAAGAGTGGCCAACTAGTGAAGTGATTACTAACGAAGAAGAAATTAGGAAAGAAAAGCGAAAGAACATTATTTCGACTTTGGCTAATATCACCGCTGAAAAATGGCATCTGATTTACCTTTCAAGTTACTTTAAAATTGTGAGAATGATTTCTTGGATTCTAAGATTCATAAATAATTGTAGACACGGAGGAAGAAATTATGGCAAAACCCTGAGTGTTGAAGAATTGAACATTGCTGAGAAGGGACATTTTACTTTCAGAGATGAAGAAGGGATTATAAGATTGAAAACGAAGATTTTGAGAAGACATGATGATGAAAACTTCTGGTGCCCCATTGTACTTCCATCCAAACATGAATTAGTAAAAAGAATGATACAAGACTACCATTTGCAACTTTTACATGCTGGTACTCAAGTTCTTTTGACCAATATTCGTCAAAAATTTTGGATAATAAAAGGAAGAAAAACAGTACAAGGAGTCATATCGAAGTGCGTTCGGTGCAAGAGACACTCGGCGAAAGCTCTTGATACAGTGCCTTGTCCTCTCCCAGAAGATCGAGTCAGAGATGCTTATGCATTTGAGGTGACAGGTGTTGATGTAGCAGGACCACTTTATTTAAAAGAAAATAGAAAAGCTTGGATCTTGCTTTTTACTTGTGGAGTTTATCGTGGGGTTCATTTAGAATTAATTGAAAGCTTATCGACTAATGGATTTTTTCTCGGATTTAGAAGATTCATAGCACGAAGAGGACGGCCTAGAGTAGTATACAGCGATAATGGCACAAATTTTGTAGGGGCAAGGAATTTACTCCGATCTGTTGACTGGAACCAAATTATCAGAAGTTCTTCGATAATGAAACCTCAGTGGAAGTTAAATCCACCAACCGCAGCATGGTGGGGCGGCTGGTGGGAGAGACTGGTTCAGATGATCAAGAAATTATTGAGAAGAGTCCTGGGAAAAGCATTACTTTCATATGAAGAAATGTTAACTATCCTATGTGATGCAGAAGCAAATATCAACTCCAGACTGTTAACATACGAGTCAAAAGATTTCACCGATTTATGTGCACTCACTCCATCTATGTTTATTCAGGACGCGCGAACTGAAGGTGTTCCGGATCTGGACAGTTTGGATAAAATCAACTTATCGAAACGATGGCGATACCACCAAAAGTTACGTGTGGAATTTCGAAAAAGATTTAGAGATGAATATCTTGGTATGTTAGTACATCGACCAAAGACTGTACCTTCGCGAACTATCAAGAAAGGTGATTTAGTGTTTGTAGAGGACGATAAAAGGAAAAGAACAGACTGGTCTATGGGTCGTGTGATCGAAACATACCCAGGAAAAGACAACATCAGAGTGGTGAAAGTAAAACCATCTAGTGGTGAACTGTTAAGACCAGTTCAAAGAGTATTTCCAATGGAGATAGACAATAAAGAATCTATCTTCGAGCTTAAAACTACTGAATCATCCACATCTCCGAGAAATACTGGTAAAATGAATGATTTAGGAATTGATAAAGACTGTGAACTTGAAAATTCTGATAAAAAAACATTCAGTTTAGTAAATATGGTAGAAAAATTGTGAAACCAAAGAACTTTAATTAGTTTAATTTGTTTTCTTTATTTCTTTCTTTGAATTTAAATTTTGTATACAATTTGATTTTCCAGTTTAGTGAATTAATCTTTTTGCTAGTATTTTTCAGAAAAGAATTTTTTGCCTGTTGTTTAAAGAATGTAAGTTTGCAGAATATTAAGTAAGTTTAAAATATTCAAGATATTTGTTACGCCTAGATAAAATTGTTGATTTTGGTAAGATTTTAAATTACTCATCTTATATTAGTATTTCAATTTTCATTTCACAATTGTTTTGATTTTTTCATACTTTGTCAAAAATCAAAAGGTGGGAGAAATGTTACAACTCGAACACGAAATGAGCGAAAGTTCTCTTCAGCCAGTGGCAACGGGGAGTCGAAAACGAACTTGGAAGAGAGCGGTCGCTCACTCGGTTTTCTCTTGATAGAATTTGATACGAAGGGGGGGGGATAATCCCCATCTTTTGACTTGAAATTAATCTCAAATTATGTATATATTGTTATATAAAAGATGTGTGTAAATAAAAGTCATTAAGACTTAATTGAAGTAGTGATTTGAATCGAATATAGAAATCGAAAGCTCTCCCAAATAGAACTATGGATTTTAGAAATGACAGCAGTATCATTAGCGAAAAGAGCAATGGTAATTTGTGGGTCTTTAGGAATATCGTAAATGAAAATGTTATAAAGATATGGTAAAAGTACTCCAGCGAAAATGTTTCTCGTGGTAGAAACAGAACTGCCAATTTTCACTGCAAAGATTCTTGTCTTAAAGATAGGAAGCAATAAGTCAAATACAATGATGGGGCAAGTTCAAATGGATAAGTGTGCATATAAGTCCCCGGTGACCCTATTAAAAGCTTTCGCAATATCAAGGAAAATGGCTCGGGTAGGGAACTTACAATTGAAACCTTCAGTAATACAATTGATGACACGAAGCAGCTGGTGATTAGTACTGTGAAGATGACGGAAGCCAAACTGTTTTTCTGGAATGTAAGAGCTCTGTGGAATAACTTGATTAAGAAGATATAGAATAATTTTTTCAGCTATTTTAGAAAATTGACTGAGAAGGCTGATTGAGCGGTAGTTCTGTGGAAACGTTGAATTTTTCTGCGGTTTTGAGAAGACGACGATGATGGCATGTTTCCATATGTTAGGAAAGTAAAAGAATTTGATGATGGAGTTGATTATCTTAGTAAGACAAGTGATATAGCATTGATAGGAAGATGGTTCAGCGCTTTGGTAAAATCTTTAGTAGTCCCCGGGAGCTGAAAACCATAGCTAAACCTCTGTTGTCATTCTCACAATGTCAAACTATGAATAAAAGATAACAACAGGGGCTTGGTTCTAACACCAAGAACTCAACAGTGCATTTCATTCAAATGTTAAAAAGCACAGTTCGAAGACTGCTAAAAATCATTATGTTTTAAGAAAAATTATTGACAGCATCGTGTTTTGCGATGCATTTGGGCTTACACTTCGCGGACATGATGACGACGATTCAGACAAGGAACACAAAGATTCATTACATCTGGAAGTTTTCAGAGGTCATATCAATTTCTCAGCAGAACTTGATTCATCTCTTAAAGACCATATCATGAGTGCCACTGTTTTTAAAGGAGCTTCAAAAGAAATTCGAAATGATTTATTATTATCATTATTCAAAATGACTGCATCTTCATTGTTTGTCAGAACTACATAAAAAATTAGATCTCAAAAGAAAGTTTTGTTTCAATAACAGCAAATAAAAATACCGATGTGTCATCCACTTCCCAATTGGCTATTGTTTCTCAATATGTTTTAAGTAATAAGCAACTGGTAGAAAGATTATGGGAAATCTTGAATCCACCAAGGTATGACCCAAAAATCTACAGCTGAATGTATACAAGCAAGTTTGAAAAAAGTAGTAAACAAACCCAGAAATTAATATAGCAGAGTTACGACAGTGCAAGCATGATGAGTGACCATAATGTTCATGCTTTTAGTCAACGTATTTACAAGAGGTCGCTGCTTTTTCGGATGGCTCAGACTGCCCTTCACCATCGACAGACAGACTTGTATCATTGATAAGAAAGTTGGCGTTGTTTATCGATTACGAAGTTTTCAAATAAATAAAATTCAATGATTCTTTTCCTCATGTGCTCTACGTAATTATTATTTTAAATCGTACGTACATAATCATTAGATTCTAATATCTATTTTATAATAATGCATTATTTCTGCTTAGACAACACTACAAACATATATTAATTTTCATTGATTTTTAGACTCATTACATATACAATTGCTGTTTTTTATTAACTGAACTAAGCATATCAATACTTTTGATCATTGTATTAGCAATATGAGCCAGTTTCTGTTTATTAAGACTTAAAAAGGTCTCAAGATGAATTAATTCGACTAACAGAAACGATTGACTGCATCATAGGGATTTACTCGCATTGTGTCTAATCTCGTATATAACAAGAAAAAATTTAATATGTAGGTAGGCCAATTTCCTTTCTGCAAGGCTTCCTATATACAGCCCTACCACAATTCCCCATAAAATGTAAATGAAGCATCGAGACTTCAAAATCGATTACAAAGTGCAAAGTATATCAACTATACCCCATCGATGGTGAAAGGACAGTCTATTACATCCAAAAAAGCGGCAACCTTTACAAGAATCCACAATTTGTGCATTGATTGCTTCCTAAAACAGCTCAATTCGACTGCTGGGTAAGCAATCAGTAAGAATCAGAATTTCAGCCTAACGATTGCAGAGTAGTAAAGGTCATTGGCATCAGAAATATGTAAAGTAAATACTCACAGAAAGTGAAATGTGAAAGAACATAGGACCATCTCTTAAAGAAAGGAGCATAATAATTATCTTAGGACATACTCTATTACAGTGCTGATCCTAGACCATTGACCACCCACCTGTTAATCAAAATTGGTCAGCAATTTTTACAGAAGTGTAATATGCTTGATAATCACTTCAACCCCCGTGTGCTGTGCACCATCTTGCTTCCTGCTAAAATCGACCCTGCTCAGTTAACCTCACAATGTGACCCTTTTCCTAAAACGACCACATCTTAAAAATTACTTATAAAAGTAAGCTCCGGCCACTTTGTTCTGTAATATCTCGTGACAACCACTAATTAAAATGAGCAGTTATAAATTATTATTCTATCAATTTCATGACAACAAACTCAGTTATAAGAAGAATGATTGATAGGACATATTCTGCTAACCTCCCCCGCCAACAATTTCTCTAAATTGATTACTCTTTAAAGTGAACAATTATAGCATATTCTGTTAAAGCTCTTTAAACTGACAATCAACCTAATTATAATACTAATCTTAAACGCACTCTGTTAAACCTCCCATTTAACCATCTCTCTAAAAGAACCAGTCCCGAATCTAGGGGGCGCAAGCCGGGGTCTGTGCCCCGGGCGGCAACTTCTGAGGGCGGCAAATTCAAGAATGGCGCTGAATTGTATTTGGAATTTTGTCAAATTTTGATACAACATTACTATTTTAAAACCAGGTTTAAAACATCGTTTAAGAATATGTATAATTAATTACTCGAACCCTTTTAATGAAGCAAACAGTTTTAAAAGTAAGCTAAGTACAGCCGAACACGACTCTAAAAATAAGATCAGAGAAAGGACAATAGAGGGACTCCGTCACTGAAAAAGTCAAAGGACCCTGTCCCTCTGCCAACCCAACATATAATTTCATTACTCCGTAAACGCCTTGGTCTTTGGTCCCTGTAAGTGACGCCCGCCTAGAGCAAAGAATCTATGTATCTTTTTCTTCAACTTCTTTGCCTAGAGTCCCTCTGTTGTCCTCTCTCCTGGCGGGAATATTAAAATGAAAAACAGAACGATAGTATAGAGGCGCCTTGTTTTTATACCAACGCCTCTTGCGAAATAAATGGAGAAGAATTGTAAATTGTAATTCTTTCCTAACACCCAATACAAATTAACCTTGGACCAATGAAATAATTCAAATTAATGTACACTGCTCAAAAAAAAAAAAAAAAAAAAAAAAAAGGACAGTGCTATATTTCCCGTTCTACTGGGCCGATTGACAAAATTCAAATTGCGTTCTTCATGTCTCTAAAGTGCGACTTAGGATATATATTAGATTTATATATAGCACTATTCTGACATAGGTATTTTGACACAAAATCGGACTTTTTCTGAAATAACATACCAATTTTCTTACATATTTCGATTCTACAACTCAAATTACGCCTATATATGAAATTTTGTAAAATTTCGAGAGAAATTTACGGAGAAATTCACAAATTTATGTTGGCACTTTTTTTTCAGTTTGCGCCAAGAATAGTTAGTTCACTTGGCGAACTTCTTAATATATGGCAATCTAGTTTCCTTTCCCGTAAGAGGAAAAAAAGTCACCATCGTTCCTTTTTTCCAAATAATATTCTTTATATTATATTTTTAATTATAACTTATTATTTTAGGTAATTTTTTCTTTTTCGAATTTCATTTTAATTGTTTAAGTTGCATGTTTCTTTTTTTTTTTTTTTTTTTCGAATAACTGTTTTAAAAATTTCTGTTTACTTATTCAAACTGCGTAAATAAAGGTGCAGCGTTTATTTTTTTTCAAATAGTTTTCTTTATATATATTTTTGGTCATAGTTATTATTTTAGGTAATTTTTATACTTTTAAACTGCATATATGCATTTGAAAACTGCATATATTAAAAGAGAAAATACAGTAAAGCACAGTTAACACGCCTTTCAATGTTCCGTTCAGAAAAGATATATATAAATAAGAGAGATATATAACCGACATTTTAACTTAGGATGACTTGCATACATTGCTTTAAACCCAGTTTTATCATTGTGCCCATTGCTTTACACAAGTTTATCATTCTACATTTGGTTTCTTAAAATGATATTCATATTTTAGTCAATTATTTATTTTTGAAATCGCAAGAATGAAATATCACAAGATTAAAAGGTTTTAAATTTAAAAAAAA